TTTAGCTCTTCATTACCAAAGTTGATCAAGCCTTTCACGTCAAGTGTTTCTTCGAGGAAGCCAGTAGAGGGCTTACGGCCGAACTAGGAGTCAGGTGAAATGCCGTTTACCCGTTTTCTTCTCTGTTCTTCCTTTCCTTGCCACTTTCGCTGACCTCACAGTTAGTTGCCTTTTGTGAAGCGGAAGTAAGGGGCCGGACCCGGTTCTTCCGAGCCAAACGTCACCTCGCCCACTAGACCCTAGTGGACGCTAATCTGGGTCGCCTTTAATAATTTGCGCCCTGCCAATTATCTCGTCGTCGTTGATCTTCGACGCCCGCGGATCTGTGGATTCTTGACGAATGAGGCGAGGGTATTCAGGCATAATGATACCTGACTACAATGAAACTCTCACTGTCTGAACCGGATCATCGGCTGGATTGTCATGTCGTCGTAGCCAACAGGACTGGACCTTATGCGTTCTCATATTATAACTACTATTAGGGATGAGCGATGCTTATAGATTCGATTGGTACAATAGGAGGGATTGGAATGAGGAGTAATGAGATGTTGAGCTTCACTTAATTATCAGAGAAATTTGAAGTTAGAAGACTAACTCACGTTTTTTGCGTGCGGCTAAAGCATATTGAATAAATTAAAAATGATCTCCTTATAATTATTATTGCGCCTCAGCTTAACTTTTGAAAACGGAGATCTCAAAAACTGGTAACTTCTTCAAAACAGAGTAGGGGTTCACGACTTAATTTATAATTGTAACAAAAGTAAGTTTTCTCATTTTTGCAAATTATTTTTTACTATTCCAGAGAGTACATTTGGAAGGTTGGGGATATCACAGTAGAAAATTAGGATTTCAAATAAAAACATTTATGTTGACTACATGAGAACATCCAACATAGCGTTATTTTATGCTCGTTACTCTTTGACGTGGTTGAGGGGTTTAGTGGAATAGATATTAATTTTCTTTTGTTATTTCACCATAGCGAAACAACTTTTCAAAATTACACCGAAGTGCCCAATTTAGAACTGATTTACACAATCACATGTTAATGGGACAGACATCAGAAGAGGTGAATTGCAGAACGAAGTGTTCTGATAGACAACACCGTTAAGTGTTTGCATTTATTTTCTATATCGAGATCTTAT